CTTCTTCTTCTTCTTCTTCTTCTTCTTCTTCTTCTTCTTCTTCTTCTTCTTCTTCTTCTTCTTCTTCTTCTTCTCCTCTTCTTCTTTTACATTTTATCTTAATTTTTAATCACCTTAATGACAATATGTCTTAAAGTTTTCAGTTACTACATACTATTTTCAAGCCCTTGAATACTTTAAAAATTCATGATTTTGTGGTTTTGTTTGTTTTGTTGTATGTTTGTTTGTTTGATTGTTTTGAGACAGGGTTTCTCTGTGTAACCTAGATGTCCTGGAACTCACTCTGTAGACCAGGCTGGCCTCCAACCTAGAAATCCGGCTTCCCCAGCCTCTCAAGTGCTGGGATTAAAGGCATGAGCCACCACAGCCAGGCATATTTTTATGATTCTTAAAGTCATACAAAGAAAATTTCAAAAGCCTTTACATTCCTGATATATCCTACTTAACTCCAAGAGGAAAAAAAAATCTTTGCTATATCACAAGATCACATTTTTCCATTAACAAATTCAGACTTGGTATAGTCTGGCTAAAGCCTAAAATTAAGTTAGAATTTTCCACTCTAAACTGATTTCATACTTATAAAATAATATTATTGCCTTCATTTCTAAACAAAGTTTATTGGGAAACAGTTTTAAAATGATGTCAATCTTTTCTTAAAAGTAGCATCTTCTAGAAACTAATTTTACTTGTGCATTAAACTATGGCTTGTTTAAGTATTGCATTAGTGTTTTAAAATAATAATCTATAGCACTCAAAGCCACATTTTCAAATATCATGATTATCTATTTGCCTGAGCCACACACATCAGCTGCTTTTAACAATCACTGTTTTCTATTCTCAGAGGATTACTAGAAGAGAAAATGATGCTGTAATCAAATACTATACATCTAATCCTATTAGTACCCCAGAAGAAAAGAAAAGGGTTTCCACAATGGTGGCCATCTTGACCCTCTCATATCCCCACCTTATTTTTGCTATTAAACTACTGTATTCACCACAACCACCTATTCCTTCTGTTTTATTTCCATGAACCAACTCATCCCAAACTGGTCCACAGTATCCTCCTCATTCTCACACATCCAAATGACTCATGCTTATTTACACGTATCTCTAAGTGCTTATCTGTGCTTCTGTTGCGCCCAGGTTGTCACTAAGTGGTCCTGCTTACGTGGTAGTATGCTTCTTTCTGGGTATTAGTCAGGGCCTGCGTAGATACCCTCGCAATCACTGTGCACTAAGAATATCATAGATGTACTGACAAGACAGAGAAACGAAGGGATTAAATAATTGCAATATATCCTATTAAGAAAAACGAGAAATCAGAGGCTGTAGAGATTAATCAGTGGGCAAGAGTGCTTGCTGCGCAGCACGAAGAGCTGAGCTTGCATCCCAGTGTCGAGGTAAAAAGCTGTGCATAGCTGTGTATATGCCTGTAACCCCAATGCAGCGGGACAAGCTGAGACAGGAAGGTTGCTGGAGCTTGCTAGCCACTAGTCTAGGTCCAGAATCAGTAAGAGACTCCAAAGAAATAAGGCAGAGAGAGAGAGAAAGCAGGACACTTGACATCCTTTTCTAGTTTTCAAAAGTATTTATCCTGGTGCCACACCTGCATATACATTACATACATTACACACATACATATCTAAGAAAATAAAAAGGTATACTTGTAAGGATACATTTATAATTACAATACAATGAAAAACAAGTTTTGAAAATTACACCACAATTAATGACCTAAACATCATTTAAAGAATTGAAGGGATCCTTTTGTTTGAACTCAGATAAAGTAAGCCTCCTCATTAAAGAGCTGCTTCCTCATTGGCTTATGACAAAATATGAGTGCAATTTCCTGTCTCCGCAACACTACTGGTTTCTCTTCTTGATACAAGCAGATTTGCCAGCCTCCTCAATCAAGAGAAGCATCACTTCAGAAACAGGGGTGAGTATGAGATTAAAAACTAGAACAGGATTTCAAAGTAGATTGCGCACGTTGGCATAACAATCAACAGTGTTTGTAACATTTCATCTGGTTTAGGCTTTGTGAACGTAATAAGACCAAGATTTGTGAAAGAAATGGAAATGAGGAAGACACATGGTTTCTTCTACTTTGAGTAGTGGTAAGGGGGTATCAGAACTCAGACTTAGAACTGGATAGGTGACGATGTGGGTATAGGAGACCGTGTGTGATCAGCTCTCTTCAGGATGCAGTCTTTTGGTAAACTGATGGTTTAGGAAGAAGCTCTGCCATCCCTGGCAGGAGAGCTGCCTGCCACTAGAATCTCCTCGCTAGTGCAGAGGTCTAGAAATAGTTTTTACATGGATCAGAAATCAGGTAAGGTTGCTGTATGTCCCTGGTGCCAGTAAGCATCAGTTGTAACTATTTGTTAATGAATAACTGTCATAGTGTTGGAAACATGTGGAGACCTCAGAAACAGCAAGTAAGCTTATAGATGAAATTGAGTGTTTCTGTAACATTGTATGGGAACAGTTTGCTTTTAGCTATTGTCATAAATTATGTTACTTCTAGAGCTATGCCATAGATTGTCTTTTTGGCACTTCACGAGATTTAACTTTAACTCGTCCATATTTTCTGCATTTGGAAAAGTGCAGAAATAATGTCTTGTTCATACTATTAATTTTTAGAAGTACTTCCATTGAATTAATAAGTGCTATCTACAAGGCTTGGCATCACATGTACCAACTCCCTAGACCACCCTGTAATGCTCCTGCCTGAAGGCCAAGGATGGCTTCCTTTTAGGAAATGTGTGGGACAGTAGAAGAGAAAACAGCACATTGCTGAAGTTAATATGTAGTGAAGGCTTTCTGTGTGTTAGGGTTTTGGCATCATAGGCCATCTCTTTTAACCCTCATAGCAAACCAATGACATGAGCACTAACATGGGAGGAAACAAACTTAGAAGAACCACAGATTCCCCAAGAACTTTGAGAACCTTTGAAAAAGCAACCACAAGCTTGTACTGCCTCTGTTGCTCAACAGACAAGATGCTATCTGCTTTATCAAGCCACCCTGGCTGGAGGGTGCAAGGCAGGAAATGCTTTTATAGCTTAAAAAAATTCATCCTGTTGAAAACTCTAAAACCTCACTAGACTAATTTTCTCTGTCCTTGCTTTCATTGAAACAAACATAATTTATTTAGTAACACACAAAAGAAAGAGGCCCCTGCTGCCCACCCTTCCATTCTTGGTCCTGGTCTCAAAAGAGGAAACATTTATAGTTTAGGTGTTTTTCCCTCAGATGCAGAAGCCTACCCGAGGGTGTGATGTTGCCATTTTCGAGTGCCCTGTCCTTAGCAAGTTTTGCAGTCAGCCCTTCCTTCGTGCGGTACAGATCACAGAGTTTCATTTTCTGTCTTCACCAAGAGCCTTTAAAGGGTTCTTCAAGAACTGAGGAGTAAATTTTCTGAGTGGCAGTTACCTGCCAATGTTTAGATTTTTTGTTCTGGTTCTTACAATATAATTATAGGATGACATTCACTTTCTTAGATTATAGAGACATGGATACTCTATCATCTGGTTTCAATGACTGCTGCTGATAAGCCCTCGGTGCCCCCATCCCCCGCTTAGTTCTTGGTCTCTGCAGTTTGATCTAGTGTGTCTAACTTTGTCCCACCCAGCACTAAGCTTCACAGGTCACAGGACCACATGTCTCTCATAAATCTTAGAAATCAATCAACCATTATGTTTGGGAACATTGCTGTTCACTAATCTCCCCTTTCTTCCTTTATGGAGCTCTAAACTGATCTTTTCAGTTCACACTCCATGGATCTTTGATGGTGTCCTATTTTACACTGATATTTTTTTCTGATTTTCTAAGTTTTATGTAACAATGCTCTCTTTTGAGTAATTTTTCCTCTTGAATTTTTATTCCAACAAAGTCTACTCTAATATTTAGAGAAAATATAACTATTCTATTTTTACATCCTCTCTCTCCTCCCTTCTTCCTCCCCACCCCCCCCTTTGGATACATGACTTCATTCTACAGCCCAGGCTGCTTGCAAATTGATGATGATGCCCTAAGCTGCAGCTTCCCAAACACTGGAATTACAGGAGTGAGCTAATCCTCCCCCCCAAGCTGTTATTTTTATTTCTCTTCAATCATCGTGTGTTTGATTCTGTCTTTTATCTCTTTAAACTGATTAAATATGTATGTTTCATGTTACGTGTGTATTCATTTATCTCTAAAGCTTTTGTGTACCTCGTTCTCTAGGAGTCTGCCCCCTCCCTTTCTTCTCTTCCTTCCTCTTCCCTCTCTCTTGGGTATGTTGGATGAGGTCATATTTGCTAGGGCTCCTATCTGTGGGACCCTTTGAAGCCCAGGCTGAGAAAGCCTTCTTCATGAGAGAAATCTATGTTAATTTCTTCTGGGTGCCTTAAGAGTCCCATGCTTTTCATTTAATCCATATCTTCTGTGAATTTTTCCAATACTGTTCACATTATTTTTATTGATTTTCATGTAAGAAAAAAAGAAGTAAGTTGTATTTCTTAGGAAGGCTTACATGCACCATCTCCATGTCAAACATGTTGTCAAGATGCTTTCTGTCCCCAATCACCACAACCATTTCCACCACTTAACACTTCATTTACAACATTACACATGTGCAGACAAATGTGCATATCCTAAGAATACAATCTAATCAGTCTGTACAAGCTGAACCTCCTCAAAGCAAGTGTACAGCTTGATAATTTTATGAACTGGACATGCTCAGTCAAGCAGCAACCATGTTAAGAAACTATCGAACTCTCAGAAGTCCCCTTGCACCCTTTTTCAGTGTCACCTGAACCTGCCAAAAGTAATCGCTGTCCTGACTCCTAGCATGAGCTTTGGCTGGCTTTGTCACATAATATGTCCTCTGTTGTGTAGTCTTGTCTGTTATCATTATGTTATTAAGCTTCAGCACTATTATTTTATTTAGAACAAAAAAACATCACTGGTGTATAGATGCTAATGATCTATTCTACTGCTAATGGGGATTCTAGTTGGTGTATATTACAGACATGGTACTCTAAACATTCTAATCTTAGTGCATGCTGCTTAGCAAATGTGTATGTATTCATTTAGTAACAAGATTGCCAGATCATGTGTAACTTTTCCAGCTTACCGTATGTGTGGGTTTGGGTATTCTGCATCACCACCAAACTTGGTATTTTCTGCTTTGCACTTTACTCTGGTGAGTATGTTAGTGCTGCCTCATTCATATTTCCCTGGTGGCTAATAAGATTGAACTATATAAGTAGGTCAAACAAACAAAACTAGCAATGAAGACTCAGAGCCTTTCTAAGTGAGGCTCTGCTAGACTCTATGAACACTCAGGGGAAGATTGTTTTTCTTTAGCTCCTTGCATAAAGCAGACCAAAGTAAAAAAACTTGCGAGCTTTTCTTTGTTGTCTGTAAATGTCTCTGGAACATTTGAGTCTCTTTTCTGTTTGGCACTTCCTCAGAAGCCAGAGCCCCCTAGATCCCAGTGTGTGTGGTGGTAGAAAGGCGCTTTCTACCTTCCTGGTGTGAATTCTGTTTCTGTAATCCAGAGGCCCTGGTTGTCTCTTCCACCCACATCTATCTCCAGCATATCACCTCCTGCTCCTCAGCTCTGCTTTCTGTTTGCCATCACAAACATTTTGCTATTGATTTAACAGGCTGCTCTGCATGCTTGACTCATGTCATTAGGTATGATAAAACCAGAAGGTTTGGGGAGTTGTACTGTTCCCTTTTAAGAGTCAGATGCATCCTAGATGTATTCCAGCACCAGGATCATGCCCTTGTGATAGAAAGTCTTTTTGTGTACAGAACTTGTCTACACTTGGAAAGAGAAAGGCACTGATGGCCAGAATATTATTCCCATACAGCTTAATGGTCTCATCATGTAAACCATCTAAATTACCAAGAGATCCTACCAGTTAAGGAATTGGGAGCACTTCTCTATGACATTGTCACTTTACAAAGGAAGAACCTCAGAGCTAACCAGCTCTATGGATGAAAGTTGATAATCGCAACACTTCCCCAGAGTTGAGATGGTTCTGTCTCCTCACATATGGAATATGTGTGAGACACTGTGAACTACATTTCATAAGAAACAAAGACAAACAGAAGAGGGAAGACTGTGTATTAATGCCCAACAAACTATATTTTAAACTCCACTCTATCGTGTTATGGAAATATTTTTTAATAATGTGACTTCTGAAATGCCTTTTACTGATATATATTAAATTGAAACTTATAAGTCATGTAACCATGTAGTTTAAGAACACTCCAAAGCAACAAAATAAAGTAGCATTTTCTCATCACAACCAAATAATTAAACATTCTAATTTTAGCCACCAAAATGGCTTTAATTGTTTAAAAAAATTTGGTTATGGTTGTTAGATATTGTCCAGGAAGAAATATAATTCTCTATATGATAACTTCCTTTGAGTAATTCTTATTTGAAATAGGCAAACCATCCCCATCGGATAGTTTATTTACTAAAGTTCATTAGTTGTTTTAGTTAAACACTGTTTTGTACTTTAAAATATTTGTTATTGTCAATAAATGAAATAAGACTGCCTCAGAATCATGATTGTAATAAAATTATATACCTTATAAATCTCTAACCTATTCTAGTTCATCTTTCATTACAGAAACAAGACACTTTCAAAGAACACCAAACGGTATGAGAATAAATCCTGTGTGCTCATATTTGCACCCATCTCCAATCTCCTGTAAGATTCTAAAGGACAAATTGATAAAGCATAACCTTTCAAGAAAGCTAAACACCCCATGCTATTGAACACAAAGACTTCTGATGGCTTAATTCCATTCATCGCTTTAAATCACCCTCAGGAGCCTGGATCCTGACTTCTAGTGGTGATAGTGTGTAAAAATTGATCGATAACCACTTTCTACATGCATTGAGTTGACTAGAACTTCAAAAATCAAGAAAAACTTACAAGAAAAAAAAAACTAGTGAAGAGAATTTAACATTGGAAACTTACACAGCAAGGCTTCCTTACCCTGTTTACGGCCTAAGAAGTAATGTAATTGCCACCATAAAAAAATGACGATGAACAGCACGTGTGTTGAAGAACAGCATGACCTGGACCACTATCTGTTCCCAGTGGTCTACATATTTGTGTTTGTAGTCAGCGTTCCAGCCAACCTTGGATCCTTATGTGTGTCCTTTCTGCAAGCAAAGAAGGAAAATGAACTAGGAATTTACCTCTTCAGTTTGTCACTGTCGGATCTGCTGTATGCATTGACTCTACCTCTGTGGATCAATTACACTTGGAATAAAGACAACTGGACTTTCTCCCCCGCCTTGTGCAAAGGAAGTGTTTTCTTCACGTACATGAACTTCTACAGCAGCACAGCATTTCTCACCTGCATCGCCCTGGACCGCTATTTAGCAGTTGTCTACCCTCTAAAGTTTTCTTTCCTAAGAACGAGAAGATTTGCATTCACCACTAGCCTCGCTATCTGGATATTGGAATCCATCTTCAACTCTATCCTTCTGTGGAAAGATGAAACAAGTGTTGAGTACTGTGATGCAGAGAAGTCTAACTTCACTCTCTGCTATGACAAATACCCTCTGGAGATCTGGCAGATCAACCTCAACCTGTTTAGGACATGCATGGGCTACGCAATACCCTTGATCACCATCATGATATGTAACCATAAAGTCTACCAAGCTGTGCAACACAACCAGGCCACGGAAGACGGCGAAAAGAGAAGAATCATAAAGTTGCTTGCTGGCATCACGTTGACGTTCGTGCTGTGTTTCACCCCCTTCCACGTGATGGTGCTCATCCGCTGCATCTTAGAGCGGAACATGACCTTCAGCGACAAGTCTGGAAAGCAGACCTTTACAGTGTATAGAATCACGGTAGCGCTGACGAGTCTGAACTGTGTCGCTGATCCAATTCTGTACTGTTTCGTGACTGAAACGGGGAGGGCTGATATGTGGAACATATTAAAATTGTGTGGTAGGAAACCCCATAGATCACAAGGACAAAAAAGAGACATACTTTCTGTGTCCACGAGAGATACTGTAGAATTAGACATTATAGAATAAAGGGCATAAGGGGCGGAGGCAGGTTAAGTTACATGGTATTATATAATAAAAATTATATTTTGGAAAGAAAATCTGGAAGACCAGGTGTTCTGAGTGAATAGTCTACCCCAATGGAACATCGCAAAGGTACATTGTACAACTGCTATGTTGTCTTTTATTAAATAAGGTATGAACCTGTATTGTTTTGTACATATTCTAATGACTTGGTACCATCCTTATTAGTCATAATATCCTTTGTCTCTGTGCCATAACCCCTAAGACAGGCAGGACTGCTAGTCTTTAAATCAATGGCCATTCTGTCTAATTGTTACTGTTCCGTTGTTGTTGTTCTACCTTTGGGTTTTCAGTCTGTCAACGCCACTTCTCTCATCTCTGTGAGCCTGACTCCAACAAATGGAACCACTAACTGCTTCTAGTTGCATTCATTAACAAATGGGGAAGCCACCCCATGTACTGGGATTTCCCATTAAGCACTTACTGGGTTGTGAAAGAAATGGTCTCCTGAACTTCCATGAAGTTTACATCCATTTAAATACATTAGTCACTGAATCACATAAGGGAAAGGTTAATGAACTCTATATTTTGATCTTGATTTCCTTAAATTTATAGCTGAATATATGGTAATTGAAACTGATGGGAGTTTCCATGCAGACAAATAGATATTTATTGGCAATCTTACACTCACGGGCTTCCTCTTTGACTTAGGATGTGTAAAGAACCTTGACCTAATACATTCTTTCGAATCTTCATTGTGGAATTTATCCAGCCTAGTTTTAGGGAGGCACTGGGCAGGCATTTCTTTTAACCAAAAAAAGTTTGAAGGTTCTTCTACCTCCTCTTTCCCCCTTATACCTTCTCTATCTCCCATCTCCTATATATTCTTTCTCTTCATTAAAAAATGATCAGCTAGCAAGTGTCTTGATACCAGTTTGGTCCTATTCATTGTGAAACAAAAGCTTGATAATCACAAGGACAGATATGTCTGACCCAGCATGTATGCACATATGACAGTACTTTTCCATTGGTCTTCCGTGATGAAGTGTGCACACAGTGGAAGGCTATCTTGCCTTGGTGCCATATATCCATGCACTCTCCATTGCCTTTTTCTGCTCAAAATGCAATGATTTCCCCAAACCTCTCTTTCTACAAAAATGCAGAAACAGTGACAGCCCCTGATCTTACTGTTTATTATTTTTAATCTTGTGTGTGTGTGTGTGTGTGTGTGTGTGTGTACGTTTTACCTGCAGGTGTGTCTGTGCTCTAGGATCGCATCTGCTTTTGACAGACGAGAGAACAATGTGTACTGCTCTGAGCTGTCTGTTTAATGATAGTTGTTACACCTACCTTGTCAGGACTGCGGACAGCTACTCAAGAAGTAGAATGCCTTCAGACCCCCAGGAGCTGGTTAGAGCAAGAAGAGCCAGTTGGAACTGGCTCCAGGATATAGGTATGTGGGAAATTCTCAATAGTGCTGGCTCCTGGGCATTCCCCACCAGGAGGTGACATACTGAAGGCATCGGCATACAGCTAGATAGCCATTTTAATTTATTTGCATGGGATTTTTGTTTTATTTTCTTATTCAGATTGATTTTTTTTAAACAATGTACACTTTTGGAAAGCTACAGGAAAGACTGCATGAAGACCAGGTTTCTTTGTTTTGTTTTTGTTTCTTGTTGTTTGTTTGTTTACCTCTACTTTCCAAGCCTTACTGAAGGAATCTATGGATTAAAAGATATAAAAATTAACTCTTTGTTCTGTCTAAATTATATAATATTATCTCCCTGAGAACCTCTGTAACAAATCTTTTTGTAACAAATTTGTTACAAATCTTTTGTAACAAATTTGTTACAAATCTTTTGTAACAAATACAAAAAGATGTATTTCTATTCCTTCTCTCTGTTGCTAAGAGAGTCTTCCAAGGACAACGGGTACCTATTCTAGAGTAATGATTGAATAAGTCACTGCTTACCAGTTACCTCTGCTGATTTTGTTAAGGTGATTTATTTATTTTTAGTGGGGTGAGTTTTGATTTCAAAATAGAATCTATGATACAGAGCACATAAGGCATCTCTTTATCTTTATAATCTCTACAATTCTGGGTGCTTCTTTTTGCCCAACCTCATACTCATCATTCTCTTATCCAGGCATGAGGCTCTTTTCTCTCCTAGTTAAACTCATCCCAGTTGCTATGGTAACAATTGCTACTGTAGCACTGCTGACCCAAGAAGGCTTTGTGATAAGTGATCATACACTTGTCTGTGTTGCAAAGCCATTATGAAATCAAAAGAATTCCTGAAACAGAGACAGAAATACAAATGCATAGACACAACAAACAAATTTGCTCCATCTCTCAAAAACAGAAAGAAAAACGTTTCTATAACCTTTTAGCATGAGCTTCTGCTGTTTTGTATTATGTCTAATATGTCTAATATCAACTAACAAAACATGTCATCTCTTTAACATTTGAAGTAATGTTAAAATTACTTAAAACCAAAATTAAACCATTTTGGTTTGTTGGTTTTATTGTTTACCAATCAGTAGCAGAAAGAAACATTTCAAATATTCTCCTTTCTTATTTCTTCTTTCTGTATTTCTCCCTGAAAGTTTCAGTTAAGGATTTATTGCTTGTTTGTTTTCTTTCCTTCCATATTTTATTTTCTAATCAACATTGTAAACAAAATAAATACAATGTATATGTTAGGATGTTTTCAGCCACAGAATTTTTTTCTTCCTCAAGATACAAGATTTTATTTTGTGACCTGTCCATTTACCACATTTATTTTATTTATTATTCTCTTGCACAATACATCCTGACCATAGCTTCTCCTCCCTACACTCCTCCCAGTTACCTCATCCTCTCTCTCCTAGACTGGGGTGTTGTTTTAAGAAACTGACTATCTCTAGTTTTCCTTTGTTCTATTCTAAAAATTTAGTCCTAAGGAAGGACTAAACTTATTTACAGCCCCTAGGTAGAAACCTCTGGAGGGAGTTAGTGTTTTATGCATTGAAAAAGCAAGCTGTGGTTTCAAAGTATTCTTTTGTCCTATCATAAAGCTCATTTCAACTCAAGTAAAAATAGATAAATAAAAGATATTTGTGCACTGTAATCTCTCTTCTCTCCTAATATATTAAAAGTGGAGTACATTGAAATAAACTGTGTAGTATTAGTTACATTAAGCTGATATTAAAAGATAGCTAGAAATCACAAAGGCAGGGCAGATATTGGGTGAAGTAGAAATGATATGGCAGTTAAAAATTTTTCTTTTTCAAAAGTCTTCTAGTGATGAGTAAAGAGGGTAGTCCTCGTTATGACCACTAGGGGGCAATCGTGTTCTATCACGGAATTTTTCAGGTCAGCATTCACTACCATTCACAGACCAGCCTGACCTAAGATGAGTTTTTATTTTTTTTAATTTTTTATTAATTTCACTTTATTCACTTTGTATGCCCCCATAAGCCCCTCCCTCCTCCCCTTCCGATATCATCCTCCCTCCCCCTTCTTCACTCATGCCCCTCCCCAGGTTCACTGATAGGGGAGGTCCTCTTCTCCTTCCTTCTGATCTTAGTCTATCAGATCACATCAGGAGTGGCTGCATTGTCCTCTTCTGTGGCCTGGTAAGGCTGCTCTCCCCTCAGGGGGAGGTGATCAAAGAGCAGGCCAATCAGATTATGTCAGAGGCAGTCCCTCTTCCCATTACTATGTAACCCACTTGGACACTGAACTGTCATGTGCTACATCTGTGCAGGGTTTCTAGGTTATCTCCATGAATAATCCTTGGTTGGAGCATGAGTCTCTGGGAAGTTCCCTGTGTTCAAATTTTCTGGTTCTGTTGCTCTCCTTGCGTGGTTCCCATCCTCTCCAGCTCTTACTATTTTCCACTTCTTACATAAGATTCCATGCCCTCTGCCCAAGAGTTGTCCATAAGTCTCAGTGTCTGCTTTGATAGTCTGCAGAGCAGAGCCTTTCAGGGGCCCTCTGTGGCAGGTTCATAGGTTGTTTCCTGTTTTCTTCTTCTTCTGATGTCCATCCTCTTTGCCTTTCTTATCCAAGCAAACAGTAAACAGCAAACACCTCCTGTGACCTGGAAATAAAAGGATGGACACACCCATATTCCTTCCTCTGATTTCTGAGAATCTGGGCAATGGATTGTGGGTACTTTGACTTGCTTTACACTACAAATGTCATTCCAGAAATGTTTTTATCAGCCTGGTTAAAACTACTGAGTTCTACATGTAAGAGAGCCTACTCTAAATTGTTTAATCTCTCTACGACTGTGGGAGTAATAGCTAGAGGGGTGGCTCAGTGGTTACGAGCACTTGCTGCTCTTGCAGAGGACCTCGGTTTTGTTCCCAGGTACCCGAATAGTAGCTCACAAATATCCGTAGCTCAGGTTCCAGAGAATTCTATGCACACATATGATCTCCAAGCACCAGGCACATGTGTGCTACGTATGTGTGCATACATGCAGGAAAAAAAAACAAACACTCGTACCCAAACAGTGAATAAATCTAAGATTATAGGGCTAGCCGCTATGTGTGAGTGTGTGTGTGTGTGTGTGTGTGTCTGTGTGTGTAAGGCATTTCAACTGTAGGCGGTTTGCATGTGAACCTGCCGTTATGAAATTACTATGCCGAGCTCAAGATGCAATTCAGTATATGTGCAGTTTTTAATTTGTAATTCATTATTGTTAGATCACAGCACATACAAATTGACATCTGTTATTTTGAATTGTTTAAATCCACCCTCCCCCAAAGAACAGTAATGCCATCATGCTCTCATTTAACAGCATTTGCATATCATTAAATACATAATAGCCTGTAATCTGTTTTTCTTCCGCTTATAATTTTCAGATGCCTTTCAAAAAACACCAATGGATATTTATACGTACAACATAGGTTTCAATTCCTCAAACGATGTTGCAATTAGGTGTTCAACAAGCGAACCAGGGCCTGGAATGACAGCTCAGAGAGTAACAGCCCTTGCAGTACAGCCCTGAGGACATGAGTTTGGATCCCAGCACCACACCTATATAACCACGCCCTGTGTGGTTTCACATGTGCCTGGAACCCCAGTGTTGTGGGAAGTGTGGAAACAAGAGGACCACTG